ACTTCACATTTGTATCGCTGCTTTTTAATGACTAACCCTAAGTGCATCAACTCTTTCACATCTTCTTCTGTTAAATCATCAAATTTTTTTATTAAGAAACGCACACACACAGTGATGTTGAATAGAGATTGCTAGATTGAAAGAGACTGAACCGTTCAAATAAAGTTGATATGACGGCTGACATGGATTTGTCGTTTATTGATTTTAAGCTCTACTGAGATTAAAAGCCCATCTCAACCTACTTATAAATTAATACCTCTTGGAATCTAAATGCGCAAAATACTATAGCCACTTATCTGTCAACTACAACCTAGATTATTGCATTGAAATTTTATGTTGATCTCACTTTCTCTAAGTCCATTTTTCGCATAGTTACAACGATTTGTGTTTTAAGTGGCATTTTAAATATTATTTTAATGTCTATTTTCTTTTTAACAAGTTTATGTGAGGGTAAAATGAAGTTTATGGGCAAGCTTTCAAATACAAGTTCATATTGACCAATATAGAATTTCGGCTTGTAAACGATAAAGATAATAATAGTTAATAACAGTTAAAAATATAGTGGTATTATGATTGCTTAATGGTTGAACGATTCAAATTTGAGTTTTATTAAATGTCGGAGAACTTAACTGGTTCATTCGTGAACGTCGATACCATATAAACTCCCCAAAATGCCTTAGTCGAAATTGGAACTTTTTGCATGAAATTTCTGCAAAGTATCGTGTCGCGCGCCTTCATTTTCGGCTTTATAACAGGCAATCTGTCTTTACTAAAAATAATATGAAAGAAGATGGAAATATTTTGGAGATTTTCTCTTATGGCAACCATCTTAGAATGAAGGAATACATGGAGGTTTAATAAGAGTTTTTTAATGTGTAAAGAAGTGTGTAGAAAAGTTTTATCGCGAGGAGACATTAACTGATAAGGTTTAGAGCGCAGACCATGGCGTGAAGTTCCGTTTTAAGTTTAAAAATTCACTATTCTACGATTTATATGTTAGCTATTGTGACTACACAAATAAAAAATACTAAAAATTTGGAACATTTATTTAAGGTTCTAACACGATTAGCCCCAAGGTAGCCTTAGATCCCAAAACTCAATAATAACACGTAATTGTCTACATGAAAAAGGTTTATTTATGCCGTTTGTGGACGTTTCGAGAGTTCTGGGAGAAGTCGAAATTTCAAAACCTTCTCCATATCCTCTTAGATGACGGAGTTAACTAGCCTGGTCATTGAATGTGGGCCTGATCGTTTGTTGGGCTCGTAGGAATGGTGTTGTAGAATGACAATAGTCATTACTTCAAACTACCATCACCCACTGTATGCCATATTCCACCACTTCTACAGTACTCACCTTACCTTTTTCCCTACCTTTGTGTCTGTTTGTCTCTTTTGCATCTGCGAATCGCTCTCCTGTTCCCCACTCCTCGACTTGCTGCTACTTTCCTTCCCTCTGTGTAGCTCGAAGTCAGCTAAATGGCTAATGATAGTTATCAAAACGCCTGACTTTTGAAATAAATAAATAAATATTGAAACTTCATTATGAACCATTTGAAATAAATAAATATATATATATATATTTTGAAATACTTTTGAAATAAATAAATTTTTCCTCAACGTCAATCAGTGAAAGCAACTCAGAAAAAAGCAGGCAACTCAAAAGATTGAGTTCAAGTTTTGAAAGAATTTCGTGAACACTAGTGGTAGATGGCCTTGTAACTAAAGGAGACAATTTTTGCAGAAAGTGCCTTTTATTTCTGAGAAAAAGCGCCCAAATATTTTGAAAAACGAAAAAAATAACTTCGGTCGAGTGCCCTTCTTCCCAGTTTTTGCACTTTCATACTGAATAATAGAAGAGTTTTTTGTTCAAAATCGTGTAACCACTTAAATGAGCTTCATGCTTTTTTTGTTTTGTAAAATTAAAATTTATCTCAACAGTTGAGACAAGATCACTTCAATAAAATCTGGCACGGTTTTTACTTTTACATTAAAAAAGACATCATTAGTAAAAGAGGATAATGAAAATTTATTGGTAGTTTCATTGGACTCTCTCCCTCCATCCCCACTCCCTTGAGTTCTTTACTATTAATAAAATTCTTCCAACAAATCAATTTATTCCACTTTATTCGAGTATTAAAAAAGCCTTCCTTTTAAACTTAAATAATTTATTTTTATAACCTCATGAAAATATTGTCTGATTACATTTACTGCCCTCAGATTTAACTTGTAGCAATTTGAATTATTTCTAAAATGAGTTACTGAATCAGTTGGCCTTGTTTTGTGCGCCGATCCTGTGAAGTTTCACGATACCTAATTTTGTTGAAAAATTGAGTTCTTCAAAAAGTATGGTGTTGTAATCATAGCCTCAACTGGGGGGGGGGGAGATGTGAACAAAGTGGTTGTCTGTCTCCTTTGAGTTAACCCCTATTCAAAGTTCTTGTTACTCTTTACGTAGCTAATTGGCTAGTACACTTACGGAGTTATATTGATACCCTTGGTAATCCAATACTCAAATTCTCTTGGCCTATATGGTCAGATTATCTTCATTATAGACCTAAATCACTAATTACAAATAGGACACACTTATATTAATATTCGTGCTCAAAGAACGTATTTATTCGAGATTCTTGAACTTTCATTTTGGAGACAACCAGAGGTCTTTTAATCGAATTCGCAATCAATAATATGGATTATCCCAGCTCTTTCTGTTTCCAATTTATTTGAAACATATCAAAAAGAGAACTATTGTTATTGACCTATCAAATGCAAAAAAGAGAATCGATTGCTATCATTATAATTATATTCAATTGTATTTGCAATAAATCAGTTGCACTTTTTTCCATTTCAATTAATTATTTTAATCGTTCCGACTACCATTTGAAAATATTAATGTGCGTTAGGATTAAAGAAAGAGTAAAAAAATTTGCCTAATATTCTCCCATTTTTTCAAAATGTCTAAGTAGTCTAAATGCCTACTATTATTTTCGCACCATATAATGTCTTTAAGTAGGCTTGAACAAATGTAATTAAAATTAAAGAGCTGTTTCAAAATTGTATTGATTTAATGTAAGCAAAATCTTAGTGGATGTTCATTGGCTTTATTTGAACAAAAGCTAATCAAACGTTCCTTTTGCGCATGTTTTCACTGTTTGAAATATTACACTTCCGTATCTGTTGAGAATGTCAAATTGGAACTTTCAATCTTTAAAGTAATATTCAAGTCGGTTACATCCACAGAAAAGCTTGCAGCCGAATAAACGATACTTCAAGAGTGTGCCACGCTTTTTGCATTGGTGTTAGCTGTTGTGTGCGGTGTCGTAATGTGTAAATTTAGGGATTCGTCCTAAGTTTCAATTCAAATTTGCGGTGTTTAGAGTTAAATGATCAGATGATTGACGTGATCAAACTGGTTTATGTTGTGGTGTTAAATGCCAGGGTTAAACTGGTTAAACTGATCTGCCAATCACAAAACGCCAATTAATTGTTTAATGGGAGATTAATGGAGAAATGGTCAAATTTAGGCGTAGGTTATTATTAATCATAGATTCACCAATTGCACTCTAATGGCAGTTTCCTAGATTGACAATTATAAGCGAACATTGAGGGAAAAGTATAGATTTTGTCATTAATTCATTCTCAACTACAAAAAAGCTATCTGATGTCATGGCTAATATTTAATTAAAAAATCCTATTTAATATAGAGTTTGCACATAATGTCCCACTAGTTTGAAACAGCCGAAGTTATTGGAAAGGCCTAAGGAGGGAATTATGAGTAGACTAGTATTTGGGGGGGGGGGATATATTGTGCCCTATTGGATGGCGAAAAAAGTCCAGATCTCAGACTAGCGTTTAAATAAGCAAAATATTAGAAGGAAGATGGGGAGGGGTGGGGGGGGGGGGATTCGTTCTATAACGAAGACAGAAATCCATGATTCCTGATTTAGCAGGATTTCAAAAGTAATGAGGTGGAAATCTTCTCATAGAGCCAAAATCCACTTTGCAATAGCTAAATTTTTCGATATTTTAAATTTCCAGCTCTAACAATTGGATTTATGGATTATTTCCAGTTCGTTATGATCTGAGTTAGTGAAGTATTACTAACATAACTACGTGTTGTCATTGCTTGTGCATAGTTTATTTATTTATTTCAAATGACAGGCGTTTTGATAGCTATCATTGACCATTTAGCTGACTTCAGGCTTCACAGAGGGAAGGTTCATCAAAGTAGCAGAAAGTCGAGGGGCGGGAAACAGAAGAGCGATTCACAGATGTAAAAGAGGCAGAGAGACACCACGTTAGAGAAAAAGGTAAGATGAGTACTGTGAAAGGGGCCGAATATGACAAGCAGTCGGGCCATGGTATTTTGAAGTCGGAAGTCAACTGCCGGTTAATAGACTTTTTTGCCGTATGAGTATACGTTGCCCAGGGTGCACCACGTGGAGGTAAGTCTATCGCACACCCCATGTTTGTGCATAGTTATATGCGTCATAGGGTCAATGGTGTGATCCATAGCAACGTCATTCCATTACACGTATAAAGAGCCGCATGGCGATCGTGAATATCAATCTGGTTTCGCATATTTTCAGTTCCTCTGAATGTACTATTCCAACGTGTTATAGCACTCTCAAATTACATTCATAATGGTGTTTAACTCAACTTGTGAAAACAAGGTTAATACTGAGGGAATTTCTTGTGGATATGGTTAAGAACGTTTGATTTGGTAGACTTCAATGTACAACATATGGTCAAGTTTATTCTAAAGTAGTAAAAAAATATTTTTTTATTCTCTTATTTCCAGGAGAAAGCAAATAAGAATATTAAAGAAATTCTAGCCATTGCTGTGGCCTGGGAGGTATACTCACGACAAATTTTAATAATTTTGTGCAATTAATTAAGACATTGTGAAAAATAATTTTCTATTGGAAATTAAGTGTTTTGCCTAGGGACGAGACTTGATACTTGAAAAAACTCAGACTTTTTATGATTTTGGGTTCTTATATGACAAAATATCCTATTATAAATGGTACTTTGGCGAGTTGTTACTTGGGCGAAGTAACGATTACTGAATTAGACAATGTTCATTGATGAATTCAATGCAATAGTTATTAATTCATGTACCCTTACTACGTTTTAATTTATTTAAAAATCTTAATTAGCGAAATTGTCTTTTGGATCAGAAGGCAAATTAATTATGAGTTTTGTTCATGAATTGGTAAACTAAGCATTTTTACCTAAATTTTCGTTTTCTAAAGAACATATATTGTGTATATTTTTGCTGAATAATTGTAATAATTAGAAATATGGTTTCAAAGTTACCAACTTTCCTTATTTGCTAATATTTCAACTACAGTTAATTTTCCTAGTTGATACTTTACTATTCACATTTTAGTATACTAATTTTATGCATTTCAGCAACCCCACAACCTCCTACCCAATTGCTGACAATTGATGACATCTTCCCAAAACCCAACGAGCCTCCACAACTGGAAGTCCTTCGAAATCATCTCTTTGGTGAGGGACGGCTAACTGAGAAGGCAGCATTGAAGATTATTGAAGAAACGGCAGCGATTCTCAGAAGCGAAAACAATCTAATAGAACTCGAGGCTCCTATTACTGGTATGCTATTCAAATACAACCTTTTCTCGCCACTTGTGAATCACAACAAAAGTAGATTTTTACAGATGCTTTTATTGCAATATATAGTGAACCCCTTCAAATAGTCATAGACTATCACTGTTCACGTCTTCAGGGTCACTCTAAGAAGCTTCAAATTTTGCGCGATACTTGTCGGGAAGGGTTTTGAGTCTCAAGGAGATCGGAAGAAATTTATTTTTTTCTTGGGTACTGAAATTAACTTCATCTAACCTCTCATGACCTCATCTAAATTTGCGATCGCAGCCCCTTAGAGACATTCTATTCAACACCTTGCAACCTTAAGCGTTTAGTGTTTCTGACTGATTTGTGGAATATGGTTAATCATCAAACCTCCAAAATACTGTGCATAGTGTGTAAAATCCATTTTTACTACTAAATCACTATCACAGAATCTACAGTCAACAATTCAAAACGAGCAATTTGAATTGATCGTGGTGTCTTCCTTTAGCTTATCTTAATTTTCAATTACATGAGTGGATTACGACATTTTTCGATTTACGAAAGAGAATTTAAATGTACCATTTTCCCTTAATTTTATCTTCAAATAATTCAAAATACACAGAAAAAATAGGACTTTCTTATTAGATTAGACTTTTAAAATTGTGATACAACGTTCCAATGAATGAGGGTAGGCTGGATTCTGTTACTAAACATGTAGGTCGGTTCGATCTAAAATTAGACTGTCTGTTTTTTTGCATTTCCAACTTGTAAACATTGATCTATGTTTAAATCTTAATGTGAATTTCCTGTATTTAAACAATTGACCAAATACCAGGAAATGCAAAATCTGAATCAAATTTTAAAAAATTTGCAATACCGCGCACTTTAAGCTCAGTGGAAATAAACAACATACAAATTTTGGTTTTTTGAAAGAGTGATTGAGAGAAAACTTTTTCTAGGATTAAGTAATGCTAGCAAAATGTGTGTGCATTACTCAGAAAAGTTTTTTTTTCAATCAATAATGAAAATATGTGTTGATTTTACTGAAATGTTTTTAGTATTTAATAATCTTGCACTTACTATTCGAACAATTTGGTCTGTTTTGATTTGTCAAAACTGTCTTTCCCATTTGACGTTAGCAGAGATGTTATCAGTTAGCATCGACGATGAGTTTGCGGGAAAAATAAGCATTTCAAAAAAATTTGCAGAAAATTGAAATAGCTTGAAAATTAGAGCATTTCATATTTTTTCTACTTAAAAAAGGATCATTTCTGTTCGGATTCGCTTAGTCTAATCCATGTTAATTATATGTATGCTCCGAAATGGGGGGGGGGTGGCTTGAAGCTTTACTGAATGTGAATAATTAAGTGATTTTGTTGACCTGGTATCTAAGGTAAACGTCAACCAATACTGTCAGATCGCAAAAAAATGATCGAAATCGAGGAGAGAGAGAGAGAGAGTGAGTGAGAAAGAGCTAAAGAAGGACCTAGGAAAAAAATTAGTTGAAGTGTAGATGTTAGGAAGGAAAAGGCGAGACGAGAACAGTGGAACAAAGAAAAGAAAGGAGACCATTGACCGAGAACTACCACAAGGAGCCTTCAAATCGGTGTAGCTGGGAGAGCGACAGGTACTAATCGCTATCGTTGCCTTGTCATCGAGTTTTTATTTGATTAGAGTGTAATCTATTAGTTTCGTTTTCAGTTTGGGCAGAAGGTGATACAATAGTTTTGGAAAATTTTCAAAAGGAGCATTTGCATTGATAGCTAGGTTTGTCAATTCCACTTATTAAGAAAATGCTACTATTATTACTCAAAGTATTGTTCAACAAAGTTAAGCTTTCCTTGTTGTGGTTGGAAATTGAAATTGATGAGCAGAATGTGTAGAAAACATTAATTGGAGATGGTAGTTGTAATGATAGTGAGAGATATTTATTTATATCAAATGGCAGGCTTTGTGATAGTTATCATTAGCCCATTAGTTGACTTCAGGCTTCACTGAGTGGAAGCAACATCAAAGTGAGAAAAACTTCGAGAGGGGAATGGGGAACAGAAGAGTGTTTCTCCCATGTAAAAGAGACAGATAGACACAAAGGCAAGGTGAGTACTGTGGTAGTGGTGGAATATGACATACAGTGGGGTGATGATAGTTTGAAGTGAGAAGTCAACTGCCGGTTAGTAGACTTTTTTGCCGTATAAGCACACGTTGCCTAGGGTGCACCACGTGGAGGTAAGTCTATCTCACACCCCATGATAGTGAGAGAAGCATCAAGGAATCTAAAAATCCTACATCATTTACTTGTCAAATATCTGTGAGATGGATAATTGGTGTTCAAAGGTACAAATTTATTAATCAATCTCCTTGCTGCCTTCACCTAAGCTTTTCAGCTCTTCTCGGTCAGCTATTTTGCTCAAGAAGGTCGCCAGTCGTGTCACTTTAATTCTGTTTTCCAAAATTTTAGAGAAGGCCAAAAAAGCCCACATACTATGCAACACTTTACAGCTTCAATAAAATTGACAACAATACTAACAGTTGAAGTTTTTTTCACAGCAGCATAGTTATCGATTGCACTTAGTCTTATTAGTTAAATTACTGATTGAAGGAGGTTCTTAGTATTTAATTACTCATTTCTGCAAACCTAGGTTTGTCTAATATGCCTTCACAATAGACATTTGAAACTCATTTCAAATGCTGGCAGTTTAGTTACCTAAATTTCACTTTCATTTATACCCCTTCAATTTTTGTTCCCGAAACTGGTCCAATTCCCTAAATGATAATAACTAAAACAAATCTAAAATTTAATAAATATTAAGTCGATTTTCAAGGAAAACAGATCGAATCAACTTCTTTCTACTTCAATTTCGTTCAATCAGAAATTCTATTGTCCTTGAAATCTATTAATTTAAGTTCATAACATTAGTTGGTGATCGCAAATCATTTTAAGGCATATTTTCACTTCATGTTGAATTCAAGTTTGTATTTAATTCTTGGTACGTGCATTAAATACGCTGTTGTATTAAATTCTTAGGTCCTCCTTGTCATCTCTAATTTTTAACCCTGTTGAAGGCATCATTTAGCACATGCACAAATGACAAAAGAAATAAAAATTGTTTCAGTGTTTAAAAACTGCAATCGTTTATCACCTGTCTCTTTGTATAATGCAATTACGACTAAAGGATATTGATTAATTTTTCACTCTGATTATCAGTAAATTATTGATTTTAAGTACTTTAATATCATTATTGCAGATTTTCGATTTTATAATTTATTTATTTATATTAAGTGGTAGGCGTTTTAATAGCTATCATTAGATCTTTAGCTGACTTCAGGCTTTACTGAGGGGAAGAACATTAAAGGTGGAAAAATTCGAGAGGGGGGGATACAGAAGACTGTTTCAAAGATGTATAAGAGACAGAAACAAAGGTAGAAAAAAGGTGAGGTGAGTGCTGTGGAAGTAGACGAATATGACACACTGGGGTCATGGTAGTTTGAAGTTAGAAGTCAACTGCCAGTACGAATATGACACACTGGGGTCATGGTAGTTTGAAGTTAGAAGTCAAGACCAGAATTGTGCAATTGGCACATAGAGATGCATAGAAAAGACATTCCGGCTGATTAATTGGGTAATTATATTATCTACCGAAAACGAGCTAAGAAAATTTGCAGAAAAATTAAATATCCATTGGGCACTTTTTTTAAGCATTTGTCACAATAGAGGTAAATTTTCTTAGTTACCATCCAACCAACTGGAAGAATGGTTTTGAAGGATTTATATTTACATATGCAATAATAGTGCGGGCACTACGTAGCATGGAAATTGCATTAATTACCACTTTGCAGTCAAAAATGTCCAAGTGTAAGGAATTTTGGTAGTCATGACACTCCATCAACCATGCTGCCCTCATTACTCCACTTGTCCTCAAAACATAACACCAAGTAAGTTAATTGGTCAATTGTCATCGTTTCATTTCCTTTTTTCTAGCAACTTCTTCTTGTTAAAAAAAAAAGAAAAAAAAATGAATTGCCGAAAGTCAACCTTCATGACTAAATTGCATTATTCTTAATTGGTAAGGCACTGACGTGAAAAAAATGACACGTAGGTAACAATTTCTCGATACATAGTAATCCAATTCCCAATTGTGGGTATATTTTATTAGATTTTCAAACATTAATTAATGACAATTTGGAGCTATTTAAACAAATATATAAAGCATTTAGGGGAGCTAAACCGTTAATATTCGGTTTGGTAATTATTAACTAATGTCAGCGAGACTACAACTTAACTCAAATTGTCCCATGAGAGCCTTCGTCTGTTAAAACATTAATTCCATGATATTTATTAGGGAAATTGTTCTTAGAAGTTAAGTGTCAACACTGCTGACCAATGCAAAATCGACGTAGAAACCGCCTTTCATATTCAAGTGCCAGCATTCTGCACTTATTGCCTCTAATTTCATCTTTTTAGTCTGATTTCGTAACACCCATAACGATTTGAACAAACTTGAGTATTTCAAATATGAAGTGAGCATTCAGCATTCTTTTTGAGCCTCAGTTACAGTTTGCAATTTTCTACACTTAATATCTAATATTATAAGCAAGAAATTCATTTCTAGCTATAAGTGTTTTCAACACGGATGTGGAGAAAGGCTTTATAAATTTTGATTATATTCTCGTGGTTACGAATTTCTTTCTTAACTCTTAAGTGCTTGAAGGTATCTGAAGTAGGAACCTGTGCAAGATCAAAGAATGGACAGTTGTACCACCACCATTTTTGTTTTAGTATAATCTAGTGTAGTTTTGATGGTTTAAAACAAACTCGAATATGCATGTTTCCAAGGCTGAAGGGTTATTGAACATCTCGTTTTTTTAGCGTTCAAATGCTGTTAATTTCCTCCAAAATGGAGGAATTATAGCTGGATGTTGCTGGTTACAACAGAGCACCACTTTATTTCAATGTACCATTGATGTTAACAGCCGAGCCAAAATTTATGAAGTTAGTCAATTTGCAGTTAGAGGACTTATTTGGCATTCCAAAAAGAAATCCTAAATTGAAAAAAAACATTAATAAGCTTTCCCTTATCTTGAAATTATTCATTTGCGATATCTCTGACAACAACAACCCTCTCTCTACTATCACCACCCCCCACCCCTCATTTGCCCATTTTCGA